CTTTTAGTTTAAATAGTATATTAAAAGTTTAGAAAAAAAACAACTTTATAATTCAAAATAATGAAAGTAGTTTGACACTGAGCCACAAATTTACACTCACTAAAAATTTAATAATATATATTAATATTTACATTAAAAAATAAAAAAGTTCAATTAAAATATTAATATTTAGAGTTATGACTGTGGTTTTTTTTAATTAAAAGGTGTAAGATAAGATACTTTGGATTAAGGTGACCATTTTGAGGCCCGCTTGGAGATAGTTTTTAACGACCGACGAAGAATAGCTTTTTGGGTTATTTAGATCAAGAGATTGAAGAATGGACGAAGCAATTTGAAAAGAAAAATTCACTTAGAGTTTGTGAATAACACCGATAGATTAATAGATTAAAAAATATTTAATTGCTAAAAATAGAAATTTGATATAAATCTAAATTTAATTAATAGGAATTATATTAAAATAAAATTGAATTGTTATTTATAAAAAAATTAAAATTTATATAAAGAAAATTTGTAAGAATAAATTATAAATAATATTTCTTTAAGATATTTAAAAATTTTGACATGCTAATTATAAAAATAATATTTTGGCCTGCAAATTTTCTTACCCAAACCCTACTCTAAAACCAATGGTCTGGCCCTCAAGTTGACGCTGACCGTGAAAAATAAACTTATCCAAATGCAAAAGTCTGTTTTGATTTTTCAATGACGTTTTAGTGTATATTAATATCAATTTTTCACACAAAAGTATAGCTAAAACTTCTAAACATATAGACAAGATTGAAAATTCAAATAGCTTACTAATTTTTTTATGGAGATAGATTCATGATACTTGATTATATAAATTCACTATCAGATTTTCAAACACTCTCGAAATAAAATTTTAATTTTGTTCAGTTTAAAAACTGAGAGGAGTGCACTGCAAACTAAATTCGTGGAAATCACCTGCGCTCGCATAAAACTTTTGAAGATGGAATTGGTCAAAGATAACACCAAACCAAATAAGAACAACCTTTGCCTAAGAATGCTTCATATTTTCTTAAGTCTGTCCCACGTGGTAAAATGTAGCCATCATGTTTGTTGTTATTATATAATGATGAAAGTGAAAAAGTGATTGCACGCGCTTATCCAAAGCCAGAGACCTTGACCCGTATTATGAACGAACCACACCCAACTCTATATATCCGCTCCTTCATCCGAAACCCAGAACTACAAACACCCAGTGTTAATTCCTGCTACGGACTTATGTATGGAGCAGGTTCAGATCCGACGAAGCCAACGGCAACGGGTTTCCCGTTAGTTACAGCACTTCAACGACATACACCACCACCAACGACACTTTTTCCTACGCGCCGCCGGCACCTCCTCAGCCCAAACCTATCGTTGAATGGTCCACCGGCCTCTGCGATTGCTTTTCCATTGTGGAAACTGTAACTTCCACAACCTTCTCTACTTCTGCTAACCACCTATATCACTGATTTGCTGCAATTCGATTGGTTGCTTTGTGAAATTTACGGTAAATTATTTGTTTCAGGTGCTTAACGTGGTGGTGTCCGTGTATTACCTTTGGACGGATTGCGGGAAATCGTCGACAGGGGATCCTCGTGTAAGAAACTGTTTATGTTTACATCTCACACCAATTGAGTTCAATACAATCTATGTCCCGGTGCGTGATTGTTTGATCTGTGATTTGTTGCAGCGTGTGGTTCGAGTGGGGCTCTGTATACGCTTGTTTGTTGTGTGACATGTTGTGCTTGCATATACTCGTGCTTCTACCGATCCAAGATGAGAAGACAGCATGGTTTAAAGGGAAATGGATGTACTGATTGCTTGATTCATTGCTGCTGCGAGCCCTGCGCTCTCTGTCAAGAATATCGTGAGCTTGAAAGCCGGTGCTTTGACATGATTATTGGTATCTACCGATCAGATTTTCTTTCAATTATTGGCTTCTTCTTCTCAAAGGAATTTTCCTTTTTGTTTAATTTGTTTCGGTTTAAACTTGGTATATATGGTTAGGGTGGCATGGAAATGTAGAGCAACGAAGTCGGGGAGTGGCCATGACTGCCGTAACAGCTCCATCAGTGGAACAGAGCATGAACCGTTGAAGTGATCCTAGTATGTTAAACCTCAAGAATAATGTTTCTAGTTGTAACTAATGTCATAGTACCTTATATGTTTTTCCCCCTCTTTCTGTCTGAACATGCTCCCAGAATCTAAGACTCACTCATCGTCTCATTCAGTATATCTAAGACCATATACAATGTATTAGATAATTATCCTGTATCATTTGGACTCAAATTATTTTTATGATTTTGGCAAGTCAACGATATTTATACATTAAATCTTTGCAATAAACTCGTTTTCAAGGTAAATGCAGAAGGTTTCTGTTTTGTCTTTAGTAATAAAATAAACTATTTATGCGGTTGATTAGTTGGTTTAGACTATTTTAATTTAAATATAGGTACAGTAAAAGCACTGAATTGCAGTCCATACTGCACAAAAATGTTATGAAGTGGACCCTATTGTGTTGAAACTTGCCAAACTTGACTAACTTTGCATTGTTCCTTCTTCCTTAACGAGTTTGTTGCCAAATCTTTAACAAGCTTTTCTCAATTTAGTTCCCCAATCGTAACCTTTTTCTCAAGCAAGTAAAACAAGACCTTTAAAACTTAAATTTCGTTCATTCTTTCTTGGAAAGTGGTGTGATGTTATATATCATCATTTTCTCTGCTATTAACGTTGTTATTAATGATGTTGGAAATAAAAAACAAGTTGCAATGCCATAGCTGGCACTTATTCAGAATAGTTGGCCTGCATTTAATGATATATAGTTGACGCGAAAAGTCTCCTTCTCATTATGCGTTTATATCAATCATTCATTCATGTTCACACTCACTCACACTCACATTCTTTATCCAAAAACAATTGCTTCAATTCCAACAATTTACGCAACTTCAGAAAAAAAGAAGAAAGCAATGAATCTAAATTAGCCAAAGAAAAAGAAAAGGACACAAGCATGAATTTTTCTATTCCATCCTCCCATCTCTGCCCATTAAGATTATGATTCTCAAAATGTAATTTAGAAGTCCATGTATTTAAGAAATTCTGTAAGTGCACCCAACACTAAGTAATTAAAAAACCACACTGGGCCTAGTTTACTTGAGTTAGACCCAAACGACAATCTTGTTTTCTTTTAATAGAAAAAATATCATAACATATTTTACGTTCATAACTTAGAAAACAAGAGTAAAAAATAGTAAAAAATATAAATTTTTATATTTTTTCAAGAAAAAAAATAATATTAAATAAATGTAAAAATTTTAGTTACGTAAAGTAATATTTTTCTTTAACATATATAAATGGTTCCTCACTGTAGAAGAGAAGTGTCATAATTCCACAATAAGTGCTATGTTTTCATGCAGGACAAATTACACAACATACTCACAATATTTTTTTATTTTAAAATAGATACTAATTTCCTTAATTTTTTATAAATTAATAATCTATTTTCCTCATTTTCTAAAAAAATGTCTGTTTTATATTTTAAGTGAAATAATACTCCTTTTTTTTTTTAAATAAAGTGATACATATTTCTCTTATTTTACTTAAAAAATGAAATATTAATTAAAACTTAAATAAAATTATGAAATAAAAATAAGAGTTTTAAATCTATATAATAGCTTAGGTTCTCTGTTATTTAATATCGTTTAATTTTAAAGTCGATATTAAATGTAGAATTAATGTTTGGTGAGAGGTATACTAATGTTTATTGAACTCTTAAAATTTCAAAAAATAACGATAATCTTTATCTTTTCTTTTTCTCTATTATGTGAAATCTCTCAGGGAGATATGTCAAATTTATTGGAGTAAGTTCTTCCATCTATTTTATTCTATTCTATTTTTATATTATGGTGTTTGTTTGAGCTCCAGCTTTTATTCTTTTCAATTGTATTCCACGTTATAAGATTGAAATTTTCATTTAAGATTAAAGTTTTCATTTTAGATTGAAGTTTTCATCTACTGAAGGTTTAGGAGTGTGTCTCATGCCATTGTTTTGTGTCTAAATGTTGTGTTTTATGTCATAGTATATAAAGGAGCGTTAGATTAAAAAAGAAATTAAAAAAGAAACAGATTATATTCTTACTTTTGATTAAAAGGTAATCGTATTTTATTTTACTTTTATTTTTAAAAAGTATAAAATCAGTAAAATGAATCATTAATCCCTGATTCTCTTTTTTTCAATCTACTGTTTCTATAGAAATTGAAAAGTAGATATGGAGTAGAATATGATTTTATATTAAAAATTAAAAAAAATAAAAATCTGCTTTTCAAAACATGAATACTTATTTTGAAATGTTCTCGTTACAAATTCATTTTGATCTAAATAAAAAATAAAAATATACGAGGAAGCCATTTTATTAGAAATATAAAATAGGAAACAAAATTATTTATATGTAACAATTATAATTTACATTTTATCATACACTAAATTAAAATCAAGTTTTAAATGTAAGAATTTATTAATTTAAAAATGAAAATAAATGTATGAATAAAATAATATGAAAAGATGGATATAACGAGAATTGATATACAAATATAAAAAAGTAACATTCAAAACATTTCAGGTTTTCGAATCTGATATCTGATTCTTCTTTATTTCCTTGAAGCTCATGTTTTTTTCATCCTCAACCAAAAAAGTTTAGAATCACCCACTAGCCTTTCAAACAAAACAAAAATGGATGCTTTATTAATTAAGAAGAAACGAGACTAATGTTTATGTTTTCATTGTTCTAGAAATAAGAATCCATTAACAATAAATTAACTAAAAATTATTCAATGAAATAACTTTTAATTCAATAACTGTGCTACCAACTGAACCTGATATTTTCTGACGCTATAAAGAAACAGAAAGCATTAAGCAATAGAAATAACAAAACATATTAGATAGAACTATTTCTACCTTCCTTTCCTGCATCGAGTTATGTGAATGATATATGATCCCGTTTCAAGACAGAGAAAATCTCATGCTCATTTTTCTTATTTCTCAGTTCACTGTTTATGACATCATTTCAACAAATTCATAACTATATGTAAAAATGTAAACTATCCTTTTTTTTTTGTAAATGTAAAAACTATCCTTTTTTGGTAAAATGTAAACTATCTGAAAAGAAAAAATGATTTGAATTTGTCAAAAATCAGACAAATTGTCTACTATGGCATCTATGTCCGGGGTTACTGTAGCATGTTTGCTTATCTCCCCAATGCTGCACACATTTTTCTCAGCCGTATTGATAGCAACCACATCTTGGGAAAAGCCACAATTCATACCTGAAGAAACCTGCAACAGTTTTTAGATCAGAAAGGTAGACAAATTTAGCTCATAGAGAAACCATCATTCTAATAACTAACCTTGTACTACTCATTTAACATACAGAAGGGTGAGTTGGATAAATATCCAAAAATCAATACAGTAAAGTTGATTTTGTACGACACAGAAGATAAGAATACCATTCTGCAATATGACTTTTTGAAGATGTTTAAATTTGATTTTGTTGATAATACATTGGTATATTGTGTATCTAAAAAAAAGGATAAAATAACAGTAGGATCTGTACCCTGTAATTTATGTAGTGAATGCAACATACTTACATCATAAAGGGTATTGCCAAGCTTGAGCTTGATTTTACCACTTTTGTATACCAGCATTTTACCCACGAAGCCAGATGGTAAGTCTTTCAACTCACAAAGCTTCTCCACTTTTTTTGAACCCCCAGGAGGTTTAGCTTTCGCATTAACATCTTTTCCTCCATCAGTACTTGATTGTATAACCATAGGCAATTTCGGAGGCAATTTAATCAAGAACATATTTGCCTCTAGGTTTTCCTCCTACCAACAATTTGTTCAAAACATTAGTATAACGATTAAAAGAAATTTAATTCATCAATTTAATATCTCAAACTTCGGTTCACCAACCAAAAAGCCTAACTCCATTGCTGAATTTGATGCATCTTCATCGTATGTTGTGGACTCTGCAGCCTCCCCAAATTCCTCCTCATCAAGAAGCTCTATCAGAAAAAAAAAATGTTGTGTGAAAGCCAGTAACCAATTAGATGTTTGGAGAATATCTAGTGTGTACCACTTTCAAAGTACCAATGAAATAATTTCTTAACTCCAGTCAGGAGAAAATGGTGAACAGCTTAGTAACTAAAATTGTTAATTCTGGAAACGAGCAGAACAGGTTTTGTTACTAAATAAACTAGCTGAAGTAAGTCAGTTTTCCATCAATTTTACTTCCTTTCTTTTTTGCAAGATAGTTTTTGAATTATACCTGGATTTCCAGAATATGGCCTCCTCACAGGAAGAGTTACTGGATAATTACTGTAATAGTCCTATAGCATAATCCAACAACCAATACTTCAGAACAAAAGATTAAGCATGAACAATTACATCGAATAATGATAAAAAGAAGATAAAACAGTACATGAATGAGAGAACATATTCGTTTCATTCAGAATACTTACCCATGGTTCTGTGTATTCTTTCTCTGCCACCGCTGCAATTAAAGCATCACGAGAATACTGTTAATAGGAGGAAGGATCGTGCAGCAAAGAGCACAACACTGTGTAGAAATATATTAAACGAAAATGTATTAATGGTGGCATACCACTAGATGCCGAATTCTGATTGATGTTGACACTTCTCCCATCCCTGGCAATACCGTATGATTTCAAAGAAGTTGATTCTCCACCATAACCAAAAGCAATTTGTGAAGCTGACACTGCACACCATAAATATGAACAATGCCAGTTTAGAAAACAGAAAACATGGTGAAAAGGTAGTCATGTCAAGCTTCATTATAAGATCTCTACATAGACAGACAAGATACTGAGTATCCAAATTACGCTACTTCAACAACAATTAAATCAATGCAGTCCGAGGAATGAAAGAATTGAGGCTACACACTTGTTACCATCATGATACATAAACTAAAGATGCTAACAAATCTCCTAAAATATCAGAATAAACTAGCCGAGTAACAGACTTAGGCATATACATTACTGCTTTTCAAATCTAGAAAAACAAACTTCAAAAAAGTAATGACAACCAGTTGATATTGAATATCTCCCAGTATCCCTAGGTTTGGCAATCTCAATATTCCACGTCACAGTTACCCACCCTAATATTCTTATAACAATTTCTTCATCATGCTTCTCTATTTAACAGTCATGTAAACTCCAAACATTTGTGTGCATATTATGAGAGGTAATATCTAATTTCATGATTTATTTCCAATAACGAATAGAACAGAAAACCAATGCTGAAGATATAAAAGACAAAGATAATCATATCAGAGAACTTCAGTAACATAGCGAACCTTTTTTCTCAACCTTGTTCCTTGCCCTCATAGCACTCTCCTACACAACATACATGGGATATATAAAATCAGAGAAAAACAAAATAATTAAGAGATACCAATGAAATTGAAGTCAGATATACATTGAAACGCCGCAGTAGATCCTTAGCCCGGTTAGCATCAGCCTCGGCATTCTCAATCACTTCGCTACAAAAACAGAACAAATAAGAGTAGCATTAAATCGAGCTGCACTACACCACAAACTATCACCAAACAAAACAATCCATACCTTTTAACTTCTTTCTTTGGAACAAGACGGGGTGGTGCTCTTGGAGCAAATTTATGCTGCAATGCCAATAACAACAGCAGATTAAATAACTTTACTTTGTGATGTAAAAAAATTGATGCATTGCAAATATTAATAAAAATGATAAGTACTGAACAAATTAAAAGCAAACCTTCCGTCTGACTTGTGGAGAAGGCTCTGAATCCATTAGAGTGTAATGCTGATCGGAAACTGAGAAAGAAAAGAAAAAGTGAATGAGTTATTCATAAAGCATGAAAACAGAGAGAAGGAAAGGAGTTTTTTTGTGCGTCATGGAATCCGATCATCGAACGAAAAAACATTGTAAGGAGAACATATTAAGAGAACGTGTGAAAGTGGGAACAGAGACACATACGTATGTGGTTTGTTTGACGAAGAGAGAGAACAATGTCTTTGAAAGCAATAGGAAGTAGTGAGCGGCAGATCCGCCACTACTTGAAAAACCTACCAAAGTTAGGTTCATATGAATCTAAAGCCCAGAAACAGAGATTTTTTTTTTTTAATTTTTAAAATTTGTTATTATAGAATTTATTTTGTTTTTGGGTTAATGGGAATATTTAATTCTGGTTTATAATTAAATTTATTTGCTATCTTCATGAGATTACCAAACCAATAAAATTGTAGAATAAAGATGTGTATATCAGCAAAATAATTATAAGAATTAGTATATTTTTCAAATATTGTTAACGTATGTGAGTTATATTTTTTTATTATATCTCTTATAAGTTGTACAAATATATATTCACTATTTTTATTTTTTTATTTTTATTTATTATATAAAAAATAAAGTTTAATGAGTAATTATAAATTATTTTGGTTTCTCGAAGAGGATTGGAGATATGAAATTCTAAAAATTCGATCACTTAAAAGATTTTGAAAATTTTTGTCTATTTATTTCTGTATTATATATTAATTAATTTCTAATGTTTTTAAAGATAATAATAAATTTTGATTTAATATATCAAAAACTTACAAACTTACATATGTTTTTTTCTCTAATATACAAAAATTTAAATATATTATAAATAATTTAATATATTATAAATATAATAAACATAAATTTACGTATATTATAAATATAAAAAACATAAATTTACCTATAAATATAATATAACAAACATACGTATATAACAAATATAACAAACATAAATCTACCGTATATTACGAATACAATAAATATAAATTTATATCGGATATTAAAAGCCATAAATTCATATCTTTTAACTTATTACAAATATCAAAAACCTAAAATAGCATGCCTAAGCCTTCTTAAAGTTTTCAATATTCATTATTTCATTCGAAGTATAAATCATTTTACTCACATGCTGTAAGAATTGTTAGTTCAAAAACCCGTTTTCATCCACCGAAAGAAAATATACGAGCTAGCTAAAAAAAAGTTCTTATAGAAAATTGCTTAGATGGTAAATATAAAAATTTATAAATTATAACTAAACGTTAACTTGGGTAAGTTTGAATAAATGTTTCAAATTATTCTAAATATTTTATTTACCAAATATTGCTATTAAAATCAAACAAATATTATAAATAAAAAGAACTAAAATTCAGTCAAATAACATGTCACATATTAATTGTTCGTTTAAGTTTCTGGCTCTTGATTCAAATATAATTTTGATAAAACGATATTAATCCAAAGTATACTATCAACAGTTTTATCTTGATTTTTCTTTAATGTTTGAATGAATTTCATTATATGCTGCTTTTATTTTTAACTTGCATATAAATTAGTCTTAATTTCTTTTCTTTTTTTTAATTTTTGAAACGGTGAGATAAATTTGCAGTGATTTCTTTTATAGGATAACGATACATGTACACTCCATTTTTTATTCTAACCTATTCAGCACCAATAAAACTTTATTTTTATTTTAAAATATAAAATGATTTAAAAAGAATTAAATAAAAAAATAAAAATATAAGTTTTTTATTAAGTATTGAATGAATATATAAAAGTTGAAAGACGTAAGTTTAATTCTAATTTTCGTCCTTATCTTTTCATTTCAATCACTTTTTCCAAACTACGCCGAAATCGTTAATTTCTAGATGTCTCTCACCACTTCCAAACTTTGAACCATTAATATCAATCAACAAAACACAAATTGCAATCACTTGCCTTTTATTTTTATTTTGTTCACAGCTTTTTATCACAGTGGTTTGCATGTGAATATCTATACGTCAATCAATTCAATTCATTCCAAGTCTTTAAGATTTAATATTTTAAATGTTTTGGAATAACAGTAGAATTTGGCTCTAAATTACTCAACTTTTTTAAAATTTTTTTTTTTTGAATTTTAAATATGTAAGTAGATTATTAGGATTTTTTTTTTCAAACTATACTTTTTATTGTTCAAATACAATCTATTTTCATAAAAAAAAAACTAAATTCTCATATATTTTAATAAAAATAATATTGACTAAAATTAACATACTAAACATTATGTTTTTTTCTTTTTTTTCTTTATTCTAATTGTATTATCTGAACATCAATTTCTTTATTATGTTATTTTTTTATCCGCCCTACATTAGTTTTATGAGTTTTTGTTTAATATGTTTGAATATATTATTTAATAATATATATATATATATATATATATATATATATATATATATATATATATATATTT